GATTTTCATGAAAGTTATTTGTGGATCTATGAATTAAACCAGGATTTGAAATTGTTTTCTCGATTTGAGAAACTTTTCAAAAGCGATTTGTTTAAAAGATATCGATTCTAAACATCTTTTCGGATTTGAAAAATATTTTTGGATTGTCCCTTTTTCGGCTTCCGTAGTAAACCTAACATCTGCAAAATTTAGATGATTTAAATAAATTTTCATCATAACGTGGAAACCATTTTCTGATATACTGACCTTTAGTTCAGCTTATCTTCAGTAAAGAACCCTACAATCGAAATTCCGATCTAAAAAGCATTTTTCTCAGAGCTTATGATGAAACTCAAAGACTCAACCCTAAACTAAAATTAGCAAAATGAACAAAAATCTCATCGATAACGAGTTAAAATGAAAACTCGATCGCATAGTGCCTGTAAAAGCACTGAGACACACTTTAAGGAAAAAACTAAAAAAAAAAGATTACTTTGGTCCATTTGAGTGCCTTTACAGTCCAATCCTGGTTTGGACCGTAAAAGTTTTGTCGCCATCCATAAAGAGTATCGTCATGGTTAAGTCTTTTTCCAACTTTCACAACCAACAAGGAAGTAGAAATTTGATGAAAATTAAACTTCCTCCATTCAAAAATTGGGAAGAGAAGAATCTCAAATTGTGAAGAATAGTTTCAACACAGTTTATGTAACGTTTCTAAGTCAAGGCAAGTCCCATAGGATTTTAAAACAATAACAAACAACTGTAAAATGGATGCTTAAGTGTCATAACTAACAATTAACAATAACAAAGTGACACTTACATGATCATTAGCCAAAGTCTAAACTTGAGAGGCGTTGTGGTAGGTCCAGTGTGACGTAATTACCGATGAGTACAAATGGTGCCCAGTTCCATACTTTCCCGAGCCACTCAATTTCTCTCATGAAATTCGTAGCCTGCCGAAGAGCTTCACTGGCCCTCTTTCCTGCTATAAGTTCTTTGTGGAAGTACTTCATGAACTTCATCGTAGCCTCGTCACCAAGCGCCCACAGAGCCACCAAAACAGAGCGAGCTCCGGCACCTAGAAACGATCGCGCTATGCCAATTACTCCTTTAGCTGCCTTGATCTCTCCTCGAGCACTGTGACAGTAACCCAGTACAACCAGCCTTACCCGCTGGTGAGCACTTGACACATCTTTCTTGGTGAGAATATTATCTTTTACGGCAGGGGTCTGTGATGTACGAGTAGTTCGTGGTGCCAAGAGAATTTCTCCTGTCTCTACTCGGCCATGATGGGCTGCGATGTGCACACAAACAATCAACTTCAGAGTGGTCAAGCAGGGAATGACACGAATTCTGAAAGATTCGCACAGATAATTTAAATTGGAGTCCATCTCTGCAGCAAAAGTTCCCGAACATTCATTGTGCATGGTCCCATGCACAATGAATGTTCGGGAACAACGGCCACTAATCAGGTCGGCATACCATAGGACCAATGATAACGTCTGCCTCTGTCTGGGAAACTCAGGAGGTTTATCACCCGCCCGTTCATTAGCCAGTTCATCATCGCTGAGCTCATCCTCAAGTGAAAGATTCTCGCATTTGGCTCGCAATGTTCCGCATAACTCGTTGTTTAACTTTTCAATTAAGTTTGCGGTCAAGTAATAACCTGAACCGTGATCGCCGATATTTATTTTTCTGAATTGGAAATCGTTACCGATACGAACGACCCAGAAAAACATTTGTTCATCACTCATTACTAAGAAAACTAAATTCGATTGAGCACACCTGACAGGTAATTCGCAGACAGGCTTCTCAGGCAGGTGTGATATATAGAATGGTTCTCCAGAGACGTATTCATTATTGACCAAATCATGAAGTGCTTGAGCCCGTGCTTGGTCAACAACGAGCAGAGTTGCGGCAACTTGACTTAATCGTAAATGCAGTCGCCATAACTTTTCGTATCAGATACACATCTGTGGGAACCACGGTAGGTAATCTTTTACTCTTCTTTTAACTGCTGACCAGCTCTGAGCTCATCGTAAATCGTGACGCTCGGAACGGTAGTAGTCAAGGGAACTGAGAAGAGACCCCTGCTTTTCAGAGACAACACTTAGATTAAAAAGTGACACGGCCTCTAAATCCTTGCCTCCCACTTTCTTGGAAACTACTATAGTACGCTTATGGTATTGGATAGCTCCTTGAAGATCTCTTTTCCAATTGTACACACACCCGAGGCATAAATGTCTTCCTTACCACGCTTGTTTCCAACTTCTTTGATTGCTTGATAGCTTGATAACTTCTGTCACAAGATGGGCACTTTTTTCAAGTTTGAAGAAGTAGAAATACGTACAGAGTGAAACATTAAAAAATCCATGTTACCAAAGTGGTATCTTGTTGATCATCTTAAAAACACCTTTTGATATCGGACTCTTACCTCAGAAATTCGGTCAGAAGTCCGTCTCGCTTCCTTGATACCAACTTCACACGAAAAGTTTTCTTGCTGCTTTTAAACTGCAACAACCAAAGTGTCACGGCTCAGCCACATTATAAGATTCGAAGAAGTGCAAAGACACTTTATACTGTTTCTCTCGGTTATAGATAGATTTTGAGGAGTTTTTTTGCACATTTCTGTTTTTGTATTTTTTTTAGTTAATCTCTTCAGTGTCGCAAGTAGTTTTAATTTTTCGTGTAAATCGATCCATGATTACTTCACCGAGGAAATCGAAACAACTTGCATAACAAGCGAACTTGTCAATTTTGAAAGCTACACCAGGAAAGAAAATCGTGAATTTTTTCCTAGTTTTGACTTCATACATTTACCTCAGTTTATACAATTTCACACTGGAATCACAGGTTACAAATTTTTAAGTTCCTGTCGATAACTGCGAAGCTGGAAAAAAAATCATGAATCATGAATCATAGTGGTTTAATTAAGAGGATGAATGATTGGGTATAAACCTGAGAATCAGAGAGATGTAGTTAAGAAATGAAACAAGAATATCGAAAAAAAAATTGTCATGATTCAGGTATCATAAAATTCAAAACAGCAGGAATCGTGTATCTCGATTATTGCACTCTTGTGATAACACTCCCCTCCTTGTAAATAAAGAGTAAAGAAAAGCAGCTTTTCATTACCAGTCTATCACTGCTCAACTATTACGGGTCAATCATTGCCTTAAGTATTTCCAGTCTCCTCTTTCCAATCTTAAAGTACTCCCTTGCCATCAACAGCGTTCAAGAGATCATTTGGAAGTGATTGCGGTGTTGGACTGCCTTTATGTTTACAGTGTTACATTTCCTCACTCAAATACTGGATTTAGTCCAATACAAGCTATTAACATAGGAAGTGGGGCGTTTTTATTCAATCTGGATTTCAAGAGAGTAGTGCAAAGATCCAAATGTTTTATCGATTCAAACATCTTTTTTGCCATCTTCGATGGTTAATTAATCAACAGCCAATCAGAGTTTAAGCCAAATAATTCATGGTATGAACCCTTGGATTGGTCGCTGCTAATCATCTATCTTAGAAACAGGGCTGATGAGCCGGAATTAAGAATTGTTCAGTTTCTTTCTTACGTCTAAAATCCTCGTAATTATTCGCGAGTGAGCTACGGAATGTCTCTCTAAAAATTCACAGCTATTTCTTGATCTTTCGAGCTGCTTCTCCCTGCTTTTCCCAACTTTTTCCGCGAAAGCAGGGCAAAGTCGTGTTGAAGCTGGACTGGAGCAATTTTGCGCCACGGGGGAAGTGTGTATTTTCATAATTTAATTTTCTTTTCTTTGTGCCGAAAAAAGAGATTCCATTTTGGTGCGTGTCTGTGATCACAGATGACGTAATGTTTTCTTCCACGTCCTCCCTTCTGTTATCTGGGTTCCCTGTTTGTTTGATTTTCTCATATTACAAGGCTGGTATAAAAAGCCACAGCTATGCTTGAGTTTAATGTACGTTTCGAGAATTAAGCTTTAGACCAGACAGTGATCTTTTAATAACTGTCGTGCAAAACTTCTGTCAACTCGAAGAAAACTGCAAAATATTACCTTGGTAAAACAATTAGGAGGCATTGTCAGACGGAGAAGAACTAAGAACGACTCAAGATGGAGAACGCAGTGCACTGGAAATTCTCATATCGTGACAGGACTTGTGGCGAATGCGGCGATTTCAGTCTTTTGTT